AACTGGATAACGAAATTCTGCCGGGCCGCTGCCTCTAAGTCCTTGCTCTGCACCTTACATGCCAGATATATCCATGACTTCGCAAAAAGTGGTGGTACGGCTCAGTTTTGCAGGCAGAAGCCAAGTGGATCCGTCCGACGGACGATGTCTGAGGGATCCAAGCAACGAATCCGCTCGTGCTTTTGCGTCGTGGAGTTTTATGCTAGTAGCATGCGCAGTGCAAAACTTGGGCTCAAAAGCTTTGCTGGAACCCGCTCTGTGAATTTCGTTACAGACAGACTGACAGAGACACACACAAAGTCACGTGAACACCTTTAGCCCGTTATTATAAGTCATGATAATTTTCGGGTGAACATGCAATGGGCTTCGAGAAATAGCAGCTCTAGTCTGAAAATGTCCTAGAACTTTTGTACCAACCTAATAACTAGGTTTTCTTTGGTATCTCTTAGAATTTTCGAATTTTTTCCTCAGCTTAAGTTGATAATGAGAATTCTGGAATGTATGACGCAAAGATTTAGCACACATGGGTGATAATACATAAAAATTTATCTAACATTTTCAATTATTCTATAACTTTCTTTTCTAAACTTACGGAACAACCTGATGAAATAAATGCCGCAGAAAAATTGTTCTAGAAAGGAAAAACTCTATCTGGAAGTTGTCGTACTGAGGTCATCGTTAGTGAATGCTATGGTTATGGTGGTAGGATGGAGCTACTTTACAGCTTGGAGCGTCTCGTCGTATCCCCAGATCTTGCTGAACAAACAAAGAAGAAGGTAGGCATTCCGCTTTGGTTTTGGAAAACGATGCATTTACAGCGTTATCGGTCTAAATTTTGATCTTCTCGCGCTAAATGTTATCGGATATTTGTCTTACTGTGTATACAACCTTTCCATGTTCGCTAGTAAAAAGGTTCAAGTAAGTTGTTTGACTTGGACCTTTTATAGACTTTTATAGAAAACATATTTAAAATCAACGTTTCAATGCGTCCGATGATATATAGCTTGTTTGGTAT